CATGGGAATGGTCTCGAGCTCCCTGGACTAGCCTTCATGTAGATTTTGCGGAGCCAGTGTCTGGGAACTTTTATCTTACAGTTATAGATTCATACTCGAAGTGGTTGAAAGTTAGAAAAGTCCCAAACACGTCTCAATTCTGCACTGTAAAGGTCCTCAGAGAGCTTTTCACGACACATGGTATACCCGACGTAATAGTCTCTGATAATGGTAGTGGATTCACGTCAGTACAATTCATAGAGTTCTTCCAAAGAAACGGCATGAGGCAAGCACTAGTTGCACCGTACCACCCAAGTAGTAACGGCCAAGCAGAGAGGATGGTACAAAATGTAAAAACGGCGCTTAAGAAGATATCAGGGACAGATGTAACCTTGAAGTTGTCATGCTACTTGCTTACACAGCACATTTTTCCACACAGTTTCACGGGAAAGATTCCAGCAAAAATATTGATGGGGCGCAAACTGTTAGATAGATTACATCCAGACTTTACTCAAGAAATGGCGACCAAACAAGAAATTAAGGCAGATATCAACAGACCTAGAGCTTCACAAGAAGAAGAAAGTATGTATTCTCAAGGTCTTACATAGCAGGGCCAAAGTGGATCCCTTCCACAGTTACACAAGCCACAGACCCATTGAGTTACAGGGTATCCAGTCCAGATGGAAACATTTTACGTAAATATACAGATCAGCTTCGCACAAGTTCAAATTTCTGAGTGTTATGTATCGGACTGTCAACAGTGGCAACCCTGGAAATAAACTAAAAAAGAAGACATGCTTGATAAGAAAAAATGTTCTCCGAGTTGTCATATGTTTTTCCTAGTTGTCATATTATATTTGCTAGTTGTCATGGTTTTGAACCTTACATGTTATAACACGTTCAATCGGTTTCAATGTATTTATCGTATGTATTCTTGTTCCTTTAGAAAAAAAAGAGTTGCATAAAATAGTGTTGATCGTGTTGCTGTACTGACTGTTATTTCTAGTACGGATATACATACATAACACCCATTCGGGAAAACTGGACGAAGATGGTACCACAAAGGTACTGCTTACCACGAAAATAGAAAAACTTGGGAAAATGTCGTAGTACAGGTAGACATCTACGTCACCCCTTCTAAGCAAAGGTTTCACTAAAAACCAATAAGTTACATTTGAGAAATGGAATTGAATACTGGTACTTAGACAGTTTAGTCAATAATTTTTTCTATGAATGTTGAATAATAATATGCATAATATACATCCATTTTCTATTGACCAATGTGAATGATTACTCATACAGTGAGTTTTTTTTTCATTACTCAATTGTTTTCAACCAATGAAAATATCCTGGTCTCATTACTCCACTATTTAAGAGCCAATCAGAAAATTCGACTAGTTGACAACATACTTCAACCTTCCAATCGGCCATGTTGACAGCTGATTTAAACGACTTGTGCTAACCTAACCTTTACCTGTCAAAATTGTCAAATAATTTTGTTATGAAAATTAAATAAAAAACCGCATAACTCGTGTCTATTAAATATTAATCATAGAAAAAGTATAGTATTCTACTTGTGGGTAATGGCTATTTCTCACTCAGATGATTACACTACTCGCCTGCGGCTCGTAGTACAAACTTCATCCTTCGTGAGTAATAGCCATCATTACCCGCTCGTTGAATTATATACTATAGAACCAAACCTCTTACTTACACTAATTTAATAGAAAATCATTAGTTGCACGACACTCACGAAATTCGAGATTTTTCGTCTCGTCTCGATTACAAAACGAGATCGAGACAAGACTGCGATTTTATTTTCGAGATAAGATTGAGCAACAATTCCTAGTAAACACATTAGTGAAACGGTATACGTATATAAATTTTTTTACCAGCATTAGTTCCATACTATGTGAATTAAAGGTTTGTGAGTATGTTTATGTAATAACATTTTGTTAGTTTTTAATATCATATTAACATGAATCTTTTGTGAATACAAATAATATTCATGTGAAATTTACTGAACCAGGAAATGAGTTATCGGTACAAAAAAGGTTATTTAGTGCACCGAACCCTAGGACTTCCTTCTGGAGACAATAGAAGGTTTTCCAAAATTTGACAGAAAGTTTCAACTTTGAGGCTCTACAACTCGAAAACTATTTGAGATAAATGACTCAATTTTATTTTATCCCAAAGAGCATTCAATTCTGAGTAGGAATATATAAATATGGAACAGAATTTCTGGAATATTAATAAGGTTATGTGCGATTTTGTGAGGCAATGTCAAAATTTTTCAGGGCAAAAGAAGAGAAAATCGGTTTAACCTTTTTATAGGCCCTAAAACCTCAATAAGAAAAATCAGAAAAATGCATTTTTTTTTATCCCCTATTTTGATTGGTAAAGTCAAAAATTGAAAAATTCAGAAAATCCAAAATTGAAATTTTTCCAAGGGTTATGCAAGGAAATTTCATTTTTTAATATTTCAAAGGGCCATATTCTGAAAACCAGAAAAACTATCGACATCAAATTTTGTCCAATTGTAGATCCTGATTAGGGCAAAAAAGGTTATTTGGGGCACCGAGCCCTAAGGCTTCGTTTTCCACTAATCAAGTTTGAAGGTTTTAGAAACTTTGAGACAAAGTTTCAACGTTGTGGCTCAATATCTAGAAAACTATTTGAGATAAATGATTCAATTTTGTTTTATCTTGAAGACCATTCAATTCTGATTAAGAATGGATAAATATGAAGCAGAATTTATGAAATATCAATTGAGGTATGAGCGATTTTGTAAGGCAATGTCGGATGATCAAAATTGTTCAAGGTAAAAAAAGGGAAAATCCTTTTTACCTTTTTACAGACTCTAAAACCTCAAAAAGAAAAATCACAAAAAAGCTTTTCTATTAAATTTTACCCCCTCTTTCTATTGGTAAAGTCAAAAATTGAAAAATTCAGAAAATTCAAAATTGAAATTTTTCTAATGGGTACGTGCAAGAAAATTTCATTTTTTAATATTTCATAGGGTCATATTCTGAAAACCAGAAAAACTATCGACATCAAATTTTGTCCAATTGCAGATACTGATTAGGGCTTCAAAAAAGGTTATTTGGGGCACCGAGCCCTAAGGCTTCGTTTTCGAGATAATCAACGAAGGTTTTAGAAACTTTGAGACAAAGTTTCAACGTTGAGGCTCAATATCTCGAAAACTATTTGAGATAAATGATTCAATTTTATTTCATCTTAAAGATAATTTTATTCTGATTAGGACTGTATAAATATGAATTGGAATGTGTAGAATAATAATTGAGTTATAAGCGACTTTGTGAAGCAATGTCAGATGTTCAAAATTTTTCAGGGCAAAAAATGCAGAAATCATTTTTAATTTTTTACATGCCGTAAAACCTCAAAAAGAAAAATCACGAAAATGCTTTTCCCCTTAATTTTACCCCCCCCTTTCGATTGGTAAAGTCAAAAATTGTAAAATTTAGAAAATCCAAAATTGAAATTTTTCTAAGGGTTATGCAAGGAAATTTCATTTTCAAATACTTCAAAGGGCCATATTCTAAAAACCAGGAAAGCTATCGGCATCAAATTTTGTCCAATTGAAGATCCCGATTAGGGCTTCAAAAAAGGTTATTTGGGGCACCGAGCCCTAGGGTTTCGTTTTCGAGATAATCGGCTTTGAAGGTTTTCCAAATTTTGAGACAAAGTTTCAATTTTAAGGCTCAAAATCTCGAAAACTATTCGTGATAAATGATTCAATTTTGTCTTATTTTAAAGAGCATTTAATTCTGATTAAGAATATATACTTAAATGTGCATCAGAAATTATATACCTAATCAGGTAAAGTAGATTCCTCGACTTCGATATGAAAGAAAACAAAAAAATTCTCGAACAAATATAAGATGACACTAAGCAAACAATTTATTATTGATTCAAATAAGTTTTCAAATATCTTAAAAGCGATCCTCATCCATCTTCAAAGTCCTAAAACTCTTGACAATCTAAGTGCATTTTCGGATTACATTCAACCATTTGCGACTTTGTATTTTCACTTGTTAAGACATTCCGACAAGGAAAACGTTCGGCTTTCTTTTAAACAAATCACTGATGTTCTCTTCTTTTTTTTTCTGTACAGATTGTGTAAGAACAAGATGAATAAGGAAGAGTAATGTACCTATTAACAAGCCATAAAAGCGTGTAGTTATTTTTGAATTAGTAAAACTATTTATTTATTTCAGCTTCTATATTCTTACATGCAAAATATGTTACAAGCTCCAAGGCAAGTAACTAACATTACTTACAAGTATTTTAGAAAAATTGCAATAGAAGGCAAACTATGTGCATTTTAAAGCAGCATTTAGTTTTCGACAAGATTTGATTGATTGAGAAAAATCTCGCTGGTGAATAATTTTATGCCAGCAAATTTAATGGAAGTAAATATTTAAGTTGACACGAAATTCGATTATTTGCCTATTTGATAATCTAAACGGTGAGGATCTCACGTGGGAAGGCGATAAAACATTTTAGAATCGTGTGTGGGATGCTTTAGATAACAGTAATTGACAGTATTGATTTTAGAAAATAAATTTCAATTTATAATTCCGGTAAAAGAAATTTTGCAGCTTGTGAAAAATGGCCTTTATGAAATGGGGCAACATTTTGCATATAAATATCTCAAAGGGTATTTATCCCACTACATGTGAAAAAAAATTGTTGTTATATCACTCTGTATAAACTTAACATTCTCAAATTTCAGACGATGTATTATCATTAGAAATTTGTAGGTCTATTTACCTAAACAAATACATCATCATAATGAAGACTCTAAATGTAAATGAATATATAGTTTTAAAGAAATATTGAAGACTAGAAGAAATTTAAATTGGTGCATTCACTTACTATTATTACATAAAACAAATTATTTAATACAATTTCTTCGAGATGAAATTCAACACGCCGACTCTCGCGGTAGCTCTTTCCATTCACAAAAAAAAAAACAAATTCTTAAAGGTACCACTCACCTCCTCCTGGTCGTTGCCATAAGATTAGTACGAAAATCGCGGCGGTACTACCGTCACAGCAAAGATCAAAATTGCAGCCAGTGCTGGTGCCGCCGAAGGAATTCTTGCAGAAGGAGAAACTGAAGGACGTCTTACATTAATTTCACGTTGCGTTTTGAAAATAAACATAAGTACGAAGAAAGGGAAGGTGGCATGCTGAAGAATCAAGGTGATAATATATTGATTTATATAACAACTTGATTAGAAAATTGGAAAATATCATTAGGGTTCAAATTAATGTAACCCTGGATTTTAACCCAATCCCTGAACAAAATAATATTGTTCTACGTGCCTTGAATCCCCATTTCATTCAGTTCTCTCCAAATATAGAGTTAATTTTCGAGCGGTTGACCATTATCATTATTTCGGTGCCTTTTCACACGCCTTCTCAGGTGCCGTAAAGTATATCATTTTGAATTAGCTTTTTGTTTCGGGGATTTCTGAAGGAAAATTGGGGAACCAATATGGAAAGTAACAATAAACAAAAACTTTCAATTGTTCCTAAGAAACCCCTTGTTCATTGTTTTGTTGAATTTCCTATAATTTGCCTGGAAGGCATCCGAACTTGGAAATTAGTTGAGCCGTTTGATTAGAGAAAATTAATTAATGGGATAAATTCCACTTTGAGCCGGATTAATATGTTTATTGAAGGAAAACGGTTCACTTAATGGAGCCTTGATGTGAAACGCGAATTTCAATATTTAGTAATTGGAAAACCTCTTCATGTAGGTAGGTATATATACACACGTGTAGGTACAAATTAACTGAACTGAATTTAGTATTTCAGATATGGATTTTCTGATATTTTTTTTTTTTGGGTCAAGTGGCTTAAAGCTTAAAGGGCTTCTTCTTACCTGATTTCGACATTTGGGGGACGAGGGTTGTTTCAAACTGAACTTTCAATATTTCAGGAAACTTTGTTGCGATAGAGCCCCTTTCAAAAATTACTTTTCAATAAATACACCCTTATTTCATTTGAAAAAAGTTGAGCAAACATTGTCAATATGATTTTGCAAATTCCAAATGAAATTGTACAACACTCGAATCAAATTAGAGCTAATTGATCCAGATGGATTTATCCGTTTTGATGTTATTTCAAATTTTATGGCTATTTGAGGTGTCACTGTGCTTCGAATGGCATTTTCTATCGGAATTAATTATGCCGCGAGACGAGACGAGAATACGCTCTCTGTTGCCTTTTCTCGAAGGTACAGATTCACCTTCGTCTCGACGACAGATTCTCGCTTCGCTCTTCTCTAGTTTCATTTTCTCTCGTTAGTTTTGACGCATAGTGAGTTAGTTTCGACTCAAAGGTCAAGAAAATGTACATATTCTCGCTCCTTAACTCAAATGTACTATGGAATATTACCCATAACGTACCTACCTACTTTTTTTTTTTTAACAAATGGTTTGGAATGCCACAGGAATGATCAAACCTATTTCAATTATATGAATTGAGTTATATAATTATTTCTTCATTATAGTTATTTTTAGTAAGGATTTAAAAACAATATAACGATACATTTATATTTTTGTCGAGAAGACGAGAGAGCCAGAGAGTTCGAAACAACTCGAGAAACTCTCGACGAGGGACAGTATTCTCTCGTCTCGTCTCGAAGTTACTTTTCGAGAAAAAATCGGTCTCTTGTTTCGTCACTAATCGAAATAAGTGAAACTGTACTCTGTATTCCATTCAAATAATGGAAGTTTGAGTCATTTCTAGAAATGCCACGTATAGTGATTTGGCCGAATACCGAATACCGAATATTCGGCCACGCTCTCGTTTGTACCGCCGAATATTCTGCCGCCGAATATTCGGCGACAGATCTGTGGGTTTTGTGCGTGAACAACAAGTCAGGACCTGTCTCATTCTCAATGCGTCGCCTCCGGTAACGACGGAATTTGGTTCACTTGAAAATATATCATGTTACAATACCCATTATTAGCTATATTCTTTTGATCGCACGTTATTACCTATACTACTGTTTATCTTTAGCCAAAAGTTATCAAAATGGCACCAGTAATTAATAAAAAGTCGCCTATTTGATAGATTTTAAGTATTAAATTCATTGTGACTTATTATTAAATAGATACATTTTTGAGTAATATGTGCGTTTTTTTTTTCATTATTCGGCTTTCGGTATTCGGCCAAATATTCGGCCGGATAATACTGTTCGGCCGAATACCGAATACAAAAAAAAATGGCCGAATAGGCCGAATACCGAATAGTAGCCGAATATTCGTGGCATCTCTAGATTTCCATTCACATGGAATTCAAAATTATAGCCACTAATAAAAATCTATTTGAATCGCACAGCAGTTTTTGATAATCTTTCTGAATTTTGAGTTTGAGAGCCTATACACTACAGTCTTTCATTAACCCCTCTAAACCCCATAGAAATAAAAAAATTATTTGCAGCACCGTACTTGTGGTAGAAGTGAAACTTCTATCCCTTCGTATTGAGTGTATATCTCGCTCTTTCTTGCTCCACTCTTGTGGCATCAGATTTGTTCTGCGCACATGTGCGTCACACTATTCTTTTCTCTTTTATGGCCTAGTATTCAGTGGATACGTGGCATTCTCACTTGCTTGTCAAATCAGTAGATCAAGCGGGCCACTCTACAGGGTGTCCCACCGGGAACCAAATCGATGAAAAACTGCAAATTTTTTTTGAAAATTTGACAGTATGCTAATGTCAATGGGGGCAACCCGGCTAAAATATTTTCAAGATGCTGACACTTCCGGTTATACTGAAAGAAGACGTGAACTTGCTTAATTTAAATGAGACACTTGTAACATTTGAGATGTCACAAAAATATATTTTTTGTCATACGCTCCCAAAAACAGCCATTTTACGGACTCATTCAAGTCCGTAAAATGCTTCTTTTTAGGATTTTCTTTTTCTTCAAAAATTAAGTAAATTTTGCAAATTTTAGCGTTCTTAAGAATTCTAAAAAGCGTATGACAAAAAATAGTGTTTGTCACACGTACCTAACGAAGTTTTTCAGGACTGAAAAACTTCATTTTAGGTACTTGTGACAAAAATAACTATATTGTTCTCAATTATTTTTATATATTTTGGACTCATTTAAAAGTACTATTTCCATTGAGTTAGGATAGTAGGGACACGCTATAAGTAGGTATTATTTCGTAGGGAGATAAACGGCGCACTGGGCGTGGCTAATAGTCATAACAATATGGATGCCAGGCCAGGTCCGGACTGTCTAAATTTATAAGAATTGATTATACTAAATTTTGAGTAAAAGATTTTTTTCTTTTAATTGAGGACGCATATATTGGGAATGCATTTTTTCAAGTTTGGAACAGAATAATAGGAATTGACGGGATAAAAGCAAGAAACTATTCAAATAAAGAAATAGAGAAATACATTTTTGAAATACTTCCCTGTTTATTGTTATTATTTTGTCTACTAACCTGTGATATGTAATTCCGGTCGATTTCTTTTTATCAACTGCATGCCTGCTATTGCAGCTACAAAGGGCATATGAAACCATTATTGTCTTTCACTATATTGTTCAAAATATCACACGAAAGTACAAAAGGCAAGTAAAAACCCAAAAACTTGATCAGACAACCAAGTGACAGTTCGTTGACGTAAGGTTCGTATGAATATGGCGGACCTGGATCCGCTTTCGACCACGTGATCGCATCTCCCTACCATCCTAACTCAATGACTATTTCATACACCTAGCGACATCTATGATCTAGTTTTCCTAACCTAATATCGAGAATTCTGTTATTTCCGAGAAACCTGTAGCGCTGTCATTTTTATGATTTCGACAAGCTTGACAGACGAAGAAAGAAAAAGACAGAACCAATTCGGGTACTTTTGACTAGACCTTTTTTTTTCTCTTTTGTTTTGGGACCGAAAAGGTTGTCTAGATTTTTAGAATTTTAAAAATCTTAAAACTTTATCTTTGTTTTTGGCCATCGAGTCCATATTCTCGAAAATTAACTAGCCAGAAGAGTGCTTGATCGTGTCTACTAGAAAGTTTCCTGGAAAATCAACCGGTTGTTGATTTTTGTGAAGATTTTGGAAAGTGAGGTTACTATCGGCCGTTCAGGTATGTAAATTCCTTTTTCTCTCTGATAAATGAGTCCTTATTTCCTCAATTCATTCAGGCACCTTGGGCAGGACGAAAAATCCGCGCCTGCACTTCTCTGACTGAAAATTGACGAATTTGAGACCACGCTGTCCTGGAAACTCAGAGAAAATCGGGTCCCCCTTTTTAAGGAAAGTTTGTGTCCTGTAAGAAGTTGATCCCCAGCCATTATTTGGTTGTCTCCAGCCAGTTTCGTACCTCCAGATCTCAAATTTGTGAAAACTCCCGAGGCTTTACAAGGATTCCGTCCAGGCTTGTATAACCATTTACCTTTTCTTTATCGTCTCTTATCGAGTAGCTTTATTAGCTAATTACTATCTTTGTAATTCTTAATTACCGTAACTTATTTTTTACCTATTCTTTATCGCCCCCTATCGTTTAGCTTCATTAGCTAATTATTATCTTTGTAAATTCAATTACCGACTTATTCGTTTACCGTATAGTAGTATTTAGCTATAATAGCTAACTATCGTTTACAATTAATTATCGGTTTAATTAATTAATTATTATCAGAGTCAAATATTAACTTTTCTTATCGTTTTCTTTATCATTATTCATTAAGTATCTAATAATTATGCATTATTATAATTATTATAAATTTATTTCCTTTATATCAAGCACTGATCGATATGATATATTGTGGATTCATTAACCTTTAAAAGGTTAATTTAACTTTTAATTTCAAATTAATAATGTGGTAGTTTTACAAGGTAAACCAATGTATAATCTTTAGGTAGTCAAATTTTAGTTTTATGTTTACCTATTTTGAACTTTAAAGGTAAGAAGGTAGAGCTGCTAGCTCTTCCCGAAACCGTGACCCCTTGATTTTACCTAGCAAGTTTTTGATATTTATAACTGCCTAGGGATTATTTATTACCTTTCTACATTTATTGATTTGTTTTTTATTGACTTGATTGACTTTGAGTCAAAAATTCGGGGATTAATTGTATTTTGACTTCAATATTTATACTTAGGTAATTCTCATCGTAGGTATCTATATAATTAGAAGTGAATGGCTGTGTTGCTCGTCCAAGAGTCAGGAAATCAAACAAAAACGTATTTCGAGCAAAAATTCTTTAATAGGTTAGCAGAGCGCTTTCGACCTTCCGGCCATCATCAGTGCTGACTGAAAGAGAGGACAACAATGGGTTAACAACCCTTAAAAAGAAAAAGAGTTGTACTCACTTGTCAATCAAAAAACACACAAGACCCAATGGTGGTAACATATTGGTCACATGAACAAGTGTCAAATGTCAGCGATATAATAAAAAAAAAAAA